GTCACAGCATTAAGATCACCCGCAGGTTCAGGTTTTGAGCCTGGCAGCGATGGAAAAAAAGAAACCGTTTCAAAGCCAACAACGAGCTCGACACACCAGCTCCATGGGGGCCACTGATTGAAACAGCTTCACACCCCTATCACGCTGTGACTCCCCCCACCCCCCAACGCAGACATCGATCCTTTTGTCGGAGGTTTCATTCCTGTGTCCTCAGACATCTGTGTTAGAGAAGCATGCTGTGAACATCCAGGATCGTTTGGGGAGGGGGGTGCTGCCACTGGGGTCTGCCGCCACTCTCCCCAGGAGGACCCCCCCCCCCCCCCNGGAGGTTTCATTCCTGTGTCCTCAGACATCTGTGTTAGAGAAGCATGCTGTGAACATCCAGGATCGTTTGGGGAGGGGGGTGCTGCCACTGGGGTACACACACACACACACCAGCAAGCCCCCCCCCCCAGATTTTATTGGATAATAATGAGTGTGAGCTGCAGCTTTCATGCGGGAGACACTCCCTGTCTTGTCCTGCCATGATTCATGTCCAGCATCCAATGCAATTACTCTCTAAATCTTTGCTTGCCTTGTGACAAGCAGACAGAAGCCGATGCTGGGTAGATAAGTCATATCCAGAAGAGTGGCTTATGCAAACAAGAGAGGGAGAGTGAAAGGGACTGGGGAAAATACAGGGATGTCAGGCATCTTTGACTCCGGACTGAAACTGAAGAGCAGCACCGAAGTAGCATAATCATGGTAACAGACGACTGCTTCTCTCCTACGCTAATGCTAATGTCTCCATTCAAGATTCAAGATTGATTATTTTCATTGTATACAACAGTACAATGAGACTGGGGTAGCAGCCCATCGAGCAGCGCAAACAAAACACAAGACAATACATGTAACATTTAACAATATCCTGTGCTTTATGTTAATTTCATTCACTCCACTCTCCTTCCACTGACTCCAATACAGTGTGGACTGCTGTCCTACAGAGACAGTCCAGACCTACATGTTTTGAATTATTATCTGTATTTCGTTTGTCTTGGGCTACCACCCTGCAGTTTCCTTTGAGGGGGCAGGAAACGCTTTCAGCTTTCCTCCGTATCGCCTTTTCTTTTAATCAACAGTAGTAGCTTATAAAACAATGAATATCTATCCATCCATCGTCCTTAACCCAGGTGATGGTCATTTGGAGCCTGTCCCAGGCAACATGGCAGCCAAGGCCGGGGCCACTCTGGAGGTTTAGAGACACAAATCAGCTGCATTTCTTTGGACCCATGCAACACTGGAAGAACATTTAAACTCCACACATACGGAGTGGAGGCAGGACTCGAACGCACAACCCTGTAGATGTGGGATGGTTGATTAGCTGAAAGCACTCGTTTTAATCAGTTAGATAAATATAACAACATTAGAAGGTCTTTTTGATCTTTAGACACTAAAGCATGAACAGGCGGTGTGGGGGGGGTGGGGTGGGGCTGAACCCGGGGACAAGATGAGGGTGGGAGAGAGTCGATAAGCTCCAGTTTTCACTCCAGTAATCTTCCCAAAATCCAATAAGCCATTAACCCTTAATCGATCCCGTCCCACCAAATATTAGCATTAACGAAGTGAGAGGGGCCCGAAACGGAGGCAGGGGTGCAGAGCAGTGGGGGCAGTATTTCTTGGCAGTGCCCAGGGCTTCCAGCTGTAACCTTTCACCGGCCCCTGCTCAGCCAATTAATTAAGAAGATCCCTGTCAGTATTTCTGCTTCGCTCCTCTGTTTGAGCCAATTAGCAAGTCATTTGCACGGCTGTCTGATGTGAGGACGTGCGGATGGTAGGACGCCACTGGAAAAGCGTCCATCAGTGGTGCGTTGACTGGGCCGGGTCTCCTGTGGGGCCTGTACTCCGCTCACTGCTTTTACTGTCACACGGAGGAGCACGGTGAGGGGACAGCTGCATGGGGGGGACTATAGGGGGAGGGGACAGGTGCATAGGGGGACAATAGGGGGAGGGGACAGGTGCATAGGGGGACAATAGGGGGAGGAGACAGGGGCATAGGGG